ATATATATATATATATATATGAAATATCTCTAGTACACATTCGATTCCAGTTGTTAATGCTTTATGGATCATAATACATCACTCACCCATTTAACCACTTAGTTTAACATAGCAAAGATATGAACAGCAGGCACTACAACTTATTTTCAAATTACATTGTCTCCCACTTCCAATCTTCCTTTGGGCTGAGGTGTCTTGAAAGCATATGCCCTTCAGAGACTACTATGGCTGAAATCCACTATTAGTCCATTTAGAATAGCTCAACACTGCCATCTAGCTTTGTCAATGAGATATTGCAATTTCAGAAAAGGACAGAAATAGACCATTTATAAAATAGAAATGCCCTTAAATCTTTGATATATTTATTATTATTATTATTCCACCCTTTGAAAATATTTGGTCAACAAAAGGTAGAGAACATGCTTAATATTCCTGCACATTCCCCCACAACAATAACCTTGTGAGGTATGTTTGGGATGAGAGACTGACCCAATGTCACCTAATTGGCTTTCATTCCTAAGGGAGCCTAGGAACTCAGTCTCCTAGTTTTTAGGCTGGCATCTTAACTGCTACATCACACTGGCACTCTATATAGTTTGCTTAATTTTCAGTTTTACAAGAAAACAGAAATAATTCATCATTGTCTTTTTTCATGATTTTCCATAAAATTTAATCATGGGATTTTATAATCTTGGGATTTTAAAGTGATTTCCTATTGAAATATTAAGCAGGACTGTTTTTTAAAAATTGCCTAGATGTTGTCATCTTACCCAATAACTTAGCCTTCTAAATTATTTCATTGTTTAATAAATCTACTCATGCTAATTGCCTTGAATAGCCAAGGGTCTAGGGCGGGGGTTTCAAACTGGTGGCCCATGGGCTGGATGCGTCACACACAGGCCATGCCCACCCCAACTCCATGAATGGGGAAAATGTCATGAAACATCACGTAACAGCAATGATATGATGCGGTGAGTTTAACACCCTTGGTTTAGGTCTTTAACTTCTAAAAAAGCCCAATGTATTGTAATCATCTTTCTTCACCTTAATGCAGGAATACATTTTTTCCAGTCATACAGTGTTTGACTGACATAACAGAGACACATTTCAGTGTGCAATAAGTGAGACCAAGACAATAGCTAATTTTCTTTCCCTTTTTGTTTACATATAATGAAAATGAAAAACAACTGATAAATTTATTCTGAAATCATTTGTTTCCTTTTATCACATTAAAAAAATTCATAGTAACAGAAGGCATGCTGGAGATATCATTGGCCAGGGATCTGCTATGGGATCTGCTACATGCCTTCTCTGCTATGGTGCCCACCTTATGAACTTCCTTTTCTCCAAAATTACATTGACCCTCACCCCTTTTGACATTCCTTAAAGTCCTCAATACCTGGTTATGTGGAGCTCCCATGGAACTGGAGACTTGGCTAGATGGTTCCACTGTTGAAGGGGAGATTTCTTATTCACCCTCCATTTTAATCATATTTTGGATTTTTAAAGATATTATTAGGATTTTTCAAATTTGTAGTCATTGTTTTATATTTTTCATCTATTGCTGTGTACCACCCAAAGTCGCATCAGTGAGAAGAGTGGCTAAATAGATTAGACAGACAGAGACAGATAGACAGACAGACAGAGAGAGACAAAGAGAGACAGAGACAGAAAGACAATCTTTTGGAGGCATCTGTTGGCCATGGCCAAGACTTTCCAGCCTCAGACTATTTCTCTATGGCTTAGCGGATCACAGAACTATAGCTGAAATTTTGATATATATTTTTTGGAATGAAAATGAAAGAATCAAAGATTACATAACTATATTGATATTGATATCCACCCACAAAAAATAGAAAATAAAGCATCAAGTAAGATTTGCAGTGAAGTGTTGCAATGCAGCTTAACTTTTTAAGTAGAGTGCTGATGTTCGCTTCTCCATTTTATTTTCTTTCCTTATATTGGCACTCACAAACAGAAAGATAGGAAACAATATTTCAAAATATAAAGATTCTTTATTGCATGACTAAAAAAAATACCTCATGACTCTTACCTTAAAAAGATAGAACTTGTGGTCCACTTGTCCTAGCTTCTCTTGTAATCGTAGAATTAAATGTACAACCTGGTCTTTCCGTGACTGTGTGATGAGAGGCTCTGCTTTTCTAATATCTTCTACTAAGGCTTCTACATCAGTTCTAAAGTACATTTTAAAACACAGTTTTCATCTTCTGACAAACAAACATTTAATAATTATCAACATCCATCATGCCAGTGTTGGCTTCTCTGGGAATGATGGAAGCTGCAGTAAATAATTTAAAAATTGAAGTCACCTGAAGAATTATACGGTAACACCCAAATAATCACAAATTTGAAGTTGAGTCAGACATGCTTGTTTAACATATAAAATATTTCAGTAGTTTACAAAATATAAATATAAAAGTTATTATATGAATTATGTATAGCTGCAATATTTTACAGCATTCACTCAACTGTTTAGCAATCTGATCAGTGAAACATTATTTCTAAATTTAAATAATGTGTCAGACTCCACATATGATAATATGACGGTGGTAGTGAAGAATTCTATAGCGCAGTCTTAAAAATTTGTCTTTAGGATTTAAAAAAAAATACTGCAGAAATCTCCCTTCCTACCATATACCATTCTTTCATATAAAATTAAATCCGTCTCGCTGGTTTATACATCTCAGCTATTAAAGCTGTTGCAGTGTTTAAAGCTTTCTTAGGACCATAGATAATTATAATATTTTATATGTATGCAGCTTAAGTATATGAACTGCTAAATTATAACAATCACATTTTCAATAATTGCTCTAACCTTTTAAACCCAATTGTTTGGAACACAGTCTTCTCTAATACAATAATTGTCTGTACACTAACAAAGAACAAGACTCATTTAGTTCAACTAAGACTTTTCTAGAAGCTTTACTGAATTAAATCCAAGATTTCTCAGTGAGGATGTTGAAAAATAGTGCTTTATATATATTATTCTCCTACAGATTGAGTTTTAAGTCTCAAAGAGAAGATGTTTCTTGCAGTGGTAGCTCCTAGTACAGGAACTCATTGACAAAAGAGGTGATTCAGTTCCTTTTATGACAATCTATCTCTAAAACAGGACTGTCAAACTCACGGCCTGCAGGCCAGATGCATCACACACTGGCCACAGCCACATCCAATTTAGCGAAGGGAAAAAAAGTTGCAATACATCATGTGATGCCATCATAATAATATGAGTTTGACACCCCTGCTCGAGAAGAACATTTTTTTCAGATATGTTTGTGGCTTCATAAACTGGCAACATGTAAATTTAAGAAATGAAATATTGAACTTGCTGGAACTTACTTCTGAGTAAACATGCAGAGGATTGGCATATAGCAACTTTTCCCGGAATAAATACAAAATTTGACTTTTCTCATTAGTAGCTTTTCTATTTTTGATCAATTCATTTGAAATTACACTAATTGTAAAAACTGTATTCTTAAATATAGATGAATTTTGAAATCAGTTTTTCAAGTAAGGATTTAATTACTTCCATGGCATAATGTTTTAATTTACACTAAAATGTATTTGATCTTCCTCCACTGTGTTCATTTGTTTCTTTTCTATCCCTACCATTATAAAATAAAGATAATCTTTGGTATAGCACTTCTCAGGATGTGTCATAGGAATTAAATTTTTTACATTCTATTGATTTTTTTAAATTCAACCACTTTGAAAATACTCTCAAAACTTTTGAAATGTTAAATGTACAATACCACTAAGAACCTATACAGTTAATGAATGGTGTGTGTACACAGTGGGTCTCACATATGATGGATAAGTTTCTCGCTGAGAAATAAAGTCTGTGTAAATAAAATGGTTTTGCCAGATATCATCTGAATCATGGTAAACCATGAAAATAAAAAATCCTGATAAGGGAAGTAGGGTTTGCTCCACAGTGCTGGATGTTTCAAGCAAAGACTGGACAGTCATTTTCTAGGAATGGTTAATTGGAATTCCTGCAGAACTGTTGGACTCAGTGTCCTAAATAGTCCTTTCCAATTCTGTGATATTATGAGTTTAAAGGCACAAAAATATTCATAAAGAAACTTACAGCTATATGCCAAGTATGCCAAAAGAGACAGGATTAGGCATTCATGTCTCTGTCTTAAATAAACAAACCTAGATTAACATTACAAACATTATGATTAAAAGGTATCATTTTTGGGGTTCACCATATCTGTGGGCATTATTTAAATTGTTTAGTGCCAATATATAGTTCTAGTGTTATAATAAAATGTAATACTCACGCAGTATTGAGATCTAGTAAATCTATGGATTTGGTTTTCAGTTCTCCACTTTGAATATATTCTAAAATAATACCTTTGAAGAAGCATAACAATACAATTACGAATTCCATGTTGAGATAGTTTCTAACCATAAGCACCACAGAAACAGGTCTTTCTTTTAATAAAAACTTAACTGTTTTCAAGTAGCATTTCTACTGCTGTTTGTGTCATACTGCAGGGCATAAACCAGGACCCCAAAACTTGCAACTAGTTGAATATATCCAATAATTGCATAAACTTAGTTTCCTCAAGGTACAATTTCCCTCCCCATTGCCACTTACACTCCATTTCTGAAACATAAGTGAGAAGGATTTTGTAAATGGGTGATTATCAAGAATTATTAAAATTCTACTGTTTTATGCACATACAGTAATAAATAGGCTGGGCAGCAGTTTCAATTCAGTCTTGAAACAATTTTTTGGAGCATGAAGAAGCACAGATATAATACTTATCTAAAATACTGTAAAGCTATCATAAGCAATTCCAAGAAAGGCATAACTGCTTTAAGGTCTTTGTGGGCAAGTGCTACATCTGTACTTCCCCCTATCTGGAAGCATGTTTTGTAAATAAATACCTCTGGTGTATTATATAGCCCTTCTAGCTGTATTCCTTGCTGACAATATTTAAAGTCTTAGCCTTGACTACAATCCACCTAGTATTGCAGAAATTGTACTTTATCAGAAAAAAGTTCTAAAGTTTAAATACTAGGAAAATGGAGATTTCCTTCAACATATAGCAAATATTATCTTTATGATTATTAGTTTGACTTCTGAAACTATACTACAATATTTGCATGAAACTACATTTACGGCAAGAGCATGGTTCAGATTTGACCTTTGGACTTCCCAACATAAAATTTATATTCTGAACCAATCAATTAAAATGGCACTGTTTGAAATATTTGTTAGTACATATGAAATATTTAAATGGCTATAAATTATCTACCATTTAACGCATCAGAAAACTTTTAAAAATAAATTTAACAGATAAATAAATAAATTTGCATTCTGCTGATCCAGCAGGAACCAGGCTGGCTAATCTAAGATTCCATTCTTATCCATAAAGCAGAGGACACTAAGAAGAACAACAGAAAGGGCAGAATTTACATTTTGGAATTCTATGCCAGAAGAAGTGAGGTTAACAGATTCTCAAGAACCTGTTTATAGTTTGAGAAATATCTTATCTAGGAAGATACTTGTTTCACACAGAGTGTAAACTGTAGTTTATTTCAGCTGCTACTTCAACTATCTTTTCATATTTCCCTTTGGCAGTGTTTCTTTTTTCTTTTTTGTAGTAATGTAAGCTGCCCTAACTACTGCGTAAGTCCTAATATAGCAAAATAATAGTTTTCATTAAAACAAATAATGTATAATTTTTCCCTGTTGTGAGTCCACAATTCCCACAAAGTGATATTTAATTTCTAGAGCAGGTAGTATCAAACAAATACTTTGAAATGGGTGAGAATTGCTCTTCCCACTACTTATTATTTAAGATGTAGGGAAAAGGCCTACTTTAGTTTTCAGGATGTTGATGCTGATGATTGGCTGTGTCTGCAACTCCCTGCACAGCTCCCTACCTTGCTTGTTTTTGCACCTAAACAAAACTGCGACTTCAAGAGTAGGTCCCACCGAAAACTAAATAGTTAATAACTTCAACTGCACAATAAAGTCAGCTGCAGTGAAACTTTGCCCTCCATTCGCTCCTTGCCTTTTCTCTGGGTCTTTCCTCCTGCACTTCCACCATCCCTGCCTCGCCGTTCCGCCTTCGCTTTCCACGTTACCCCCTTCCCTCCTGCCGGTCTCCCCACAGCCTCCGTTTCCCCGCACCCCCAAGGCTTTGCCGCTTTCCCCATCATCGCCGCCCTTCCCCGCAGGGTTTTCTTCCCACAGGAGTTTGCCTCCGCAACTGCCTCTCTCCCTCCCAATTCTGCCGCTGAACCTTTCCGCACCCGGCGGGTAATATCGGAGCAAGAACCGCTTCAGCTTCATCTCGTCTCCGGCCGCCGAAAACTTAGAGCCGGAGTCGTTGTCATAGAAACCAGACAAACCGACGCTCAACTGCAGCGCGCAGGCGTAGTTGGGTACCAAACAGAAAAGGTGGGGCTTGGTATTCGCCCTTGTTACTATGACAGCGGGAGGCGTGGCATAAAATCGTCAGTTCTTCCGCGATGTCGTAGTGAGCTTTCGGATTTTAAGAAGGAAGTTCAGAAGAAGAGGGGAAGTGCTATGTTTGGAAATGCAAATGCTGACTTAAGATGTCAAATCGAGTCTTCTCCTGCCCTTCAGACGCGCTAGATTGCTACTTCGTTCTCCCATCTCCGGAAATGGTGATAAAGACAGGGACAATTCCTGAAAGTAATTGAATGCTGTGTGATTTTACACATGTTTTCTCAGCAAGCATCCGATCAAATTCAGTGGGGCTTCCTCACAACTAAACGTGTCCAGGAGTGGGACTGCCTGGCACAAACATGACTTGATTGGATGGTGTTTAATTATCCAATTTTTTAAACTTGCAGACAACTCACAAAGCAAGTAGACATTTATTACACCGAAAAGCCCGTGTTTCCTACATGACATTCTCTATTCCCTGTCTCATTTTATCCTCACTCCTGTCCCATGTAGAAGTCAGGCATTTAAAATAATGCCTGGCCCCAAATTCATCAAATATTCAGTGGCTGGTTTTTGTTCTTACCTGAACAAAAACTTATTTGGAAGGGAAGAGACTTTGGATCAGGTACACTTTTCCATTGTGGGGAAGAGTGAGGATGATTCCATGTAAGCAGCAGGCAACCATTTGCACAAGCATGTGTGCCTGCTAGTTGTGTAAGTAGAGTTGCCTGCGTGAACGTGCTCACCAGATTTGAATGGGCTGCGGCCTGGGGGTTGGAAAACCCTGTTGTACACACAGTCATGTGTTTGCAACAGGGAAAGAGGAAGGGTTAAAGACATGTTGCTTGTCTTAAGTTCTGCACTGTGTTTTGTTTTTTTCATTTTTTTTCTATCATAATTACATCTACCTTTATCTCTTATTGCAGTTCTTCACAAACTGGAATGGAACTCCTTCTACTCAAGCATTCCAAAGGATGGGAAATTGGTTAGGATGTAAGCAAAAGTCAAAGGTGTGAAACTGACTACTGGTAATCCTCTGTTAATGATCACTTGGTCAGCGACTCTTTGAAGTTACAACAGTGCAGAACAAGCAGTGGTTATGACTAGTCCTTAAAGGTGCATATCCCAGCACTTCCACAGAACAGCTGGCTCACACTTACAATTGTAGCATCCCATGGTCAAATGATTGTGCTTTAAGACCTACCCTCTAGTCTTCCCATAAGCAAAGACAAATGGGGATACCAGCAGGAAAAGTCACAACTTGCTTGGGTAAGTCTTCCCTATCTGTATACCCTTCCCCAGCACTTCTGCAGTACCTCACTGGCTAACCACATACCCTCACACATCCTCCCTGAGCCTCATTGTGCTCACACCATGCCTCCAGACCACTCGTATACCCCCTACCCAGCAACAGTCACTTCATGTCACATCTCTCCCACCACTCACATACCCTTGCACACTCTTCCCAAGCCTCATTGCATTTGTGCCGCACCTCCCCAGCTGCCCATATATCCTCATGTCCCCCAAGCCCCATCCTGCTCATGCACTGCTGCTGGCCTTTTTGTAAATCACCTGGGACTTGCAAATTCTTGCTTAGTTTCCTCACTGATTTTGCTTGTTGAAAATTTAATGAAGTTGTAGGGAAGTACTTGCTAAATGATCCACACTCCCTGCTTAACTACTGAAAAGATTGCCTCACTAAACAAGTCATATGGCACTCCTTGTATTAATTACCATCCTAACTAGACTACCTGTAGTGGTGACTCTTTCTAGCCTTTTTGCTTAGCATCAGAGTTGCTAGTCTTAATTAAGGTTGTTAAACAAGAATTGTCTACTACAAGTTGAATTCAGACATCAGTTAGGATACAAAGGAAGAAAAGGAAAAGGAAATGTAGGCAGCAGAAATATTTAAAACATCAAAGTCAATGTTAACAAATGATATATTTTCTATAGCCAGTGATTATAATAGAAAAAAAGTGAATTTCACATAGCTGAAAAAGAAGGCATAAGTTAAAAGCCAATGTTTTAAAAGAAATATTTCTAAATGTTTAAAAAGAAATTGAAGCAAGGCTTCAAATAAGCATCTGAGATATAATAGTAACAGTATGTGTCCACACAATAGCTAAATTTAATAAATATTTTTTCAGAGCCCTACTGTTTACCCTTTGAGGTTAAACTCCTTATATTTCAAAGGCAGGAAATATGACTGAATAGCAGAGTTATTTTAAAAGATTTGGTTAAAAAAGATATCTTGGCTGTTTGAATTAATTTGTTTTTTGTTCCATTTATGTTTAAGAATTTTTCTTTCTTGTTGGGGATGACCATTTTGTCTAGAACTGGGATACTCAAAATGATGCCAGTGCTTGTAAGCTGTTCCTTTGGTGCTCACCAGGATCCATCCCTTGCCTAGCATTTTTGTTTTATGACTGGCTTCTGGATTCTATCATGATAGCATTTTGTAAACAGGCAAGCCTTATGAATGGGCAAGCCATAATGTTCTCATCATGACCCTAAAATTCCACATGTGGCAAAATGGTTGCTGCCAGCTTTGGAAGCGATATTAGCACCAGAAGCTTCCACCCTTCCACATTATTGAGCTTGGGAAGTTGGGAAGGGGGATTTCATGGAGCGTATATGGTTAAACAGAATAGCATTCTTCTTTAAAATCAAGGTCATGTTATTCCTGCACCTGGTGGAGGAATGGTTGAAGGGATGTCTCAAGTTGGAAAGGATGGTGATTGGGGCATGTGATGGAATGATGGGTGCAGGGGGTGGGTTTGTAATTTTTACTTATTGGAGGAAAACTCGGAACTTTCAGATTCGGGTTTTTCCAGATGTGCCAGAATAACAACTCTAATAAAATAGAACTTTGAGAAAATGCCTGTCTCAGAGTTTTGCTGTTGGAGTTTGTTTTTCTGGAACCCTGACAGTTGGTGAGTCCTGTTGTAGATCATTCCAAGAAGTAGTTTGATTTAAATTACTTTGCTGATTCAAATAGAGTTTATTCATGTAAAGTAGCTAGATTTTATGATTGCTTTCCTTGAGTTTGTTTTGAAGATTGATAAAAGATTTTAGAAAATTGTCCAAACAATTTTCAAAACAAAACAAAAGTCTGAACAAACTGGAACATATTTGATGATTCATAGTTTTAATTGATTTAATGCCAATGTTTTGTGACTAAATATTTCAAAATACCTTGACTTTCTACAGAGAATACCTCTGTTTTCCCATTCTTGCTCCCACATATCATTATCATTATAGTGTTAATGAAAGTTGAAGTCTGACACCTGGAGGACAGCAGTTACATTAGAAAAAATTATTTTAAAATTATTAAACCTAAAGGATAATGGTTGCAAGATTTTTCCCCTCTGAAACAGTGATCTAATTGAAATGAATAGGTCATTTGGTGGTGCATAGATTTAAATCATAAAATATGAAAATCGACCAAAAAACTTTAACTTTGTAAAAGAGGGAGGTGGAAAAATCAACTTTTCATTGTGTTTATCATTTGGATAATAGTTTTCAAAACATTTATGGTACATTTAAATGATGATGTATATTACAAAACTGTAGCTTAGTTTCCTTTTATTAATATACAGCTGGCCCTCAACCTATGATTGCAATGAGCCCAAAATTACATTAAATGTAAATTTGGAAGTCATCCCAAAGAGGTGGGAAAGAGGGGGAGACCACCAACTGAGTTGAGGGAAATCGCATCTCTCCTCCTCGGCTTGGCATTCCTCCCTTTCCCGAAGGCGGTTGCAGCAGTGGTCAGAAATGGCCAACTCAAAGAGGAACCTGACCGGACAAGATTGAGCAGGAGGGAAGACAAAGGGAGAGAGCTTGACAGACTGGGCTAAACTGAGATAACATCTATGCAGGCTACCCTGGAACTAAAATTATTAAGAGCGTTATTCTTAAAAGAAGATTTTTAAAGCGGCGGCGAAGAGAGGGAGAAAAGGAAAAAAAGATATTTTTTTTCTTTCTCACATTGATAGCTGCAATCGGCTTTGAAAGTTAAAAAAGAAGAGACTCAACTAAGAAATTTGTGTTGATTTACTTTGACACTAACAGGTAATCCTAAGATGAAATTAAAGTGTCAAAGGGAAAATAAATATTTTTTGGACATTCTAAAGCCCTTAAAAGGAAGAAAGTGGAGAGAAAAAGAAAGGGACTTGGAAATCACAGAGTATCACCTGGAAATAAAGAAGAATTAACTGTGAAACTTTAAAAAGATTTCCAAAAGATATACTGTAACTGAAACTTTGCTACAATATAACAGAGCCCCTAGAAAGGAAAAGTGGAAGAAAGAAGAAAGAGCTTTGGATTACTTGGTGATTTTTGAAATTTTGGGTGTTGGATTTTTAGTGGTTTGAATTAAAATCAATCGGGTGGTTGCTTAAAAGTGTTTAAAATGGCAAAAAAGAATAGTTTGAAAAGTAAATACAACATTAGGAAGAAGCAGAAGAGAGGACTACAGAAGGGAGAATCAGACAGGGGGACAAAAAGGGTGGAGAGAAAAAGAGGGGAAAGATAAAAAGGAAAAGTTATAAGGGACAAACAGGAAATAAAGAAACAGGAAAAATGTACAAGGATTAAAGGTATTATTAGCCTACTTAAAAGAGATAATGGTTAAAAATATAAATTAAAAGAGAGGATTCTGCAAGGGTACAAGAGATAGCATTGTTATATTAGAAATAGTAATGAGCTTGAAAAACTTCCCGTTTGAAGGGCTTCGGCGACAGACAGGAATCCGCGATCGTGTGCGGTTTCTGCCTGGGCTCGCTGCTGGAGCGCCCCGAGCCAGCTGGTTTCGGGGCTAAGCCACCCCATAGAGGTGGTGAAGAAGGGGGAGACTGCCAGCAGGGTCGAGGAGAACCACATCTCTCCTCCTC